ACTAAGTTTCCACTTCCTTTTTTAAAGCCTCCTCTTTCTGATCATTGTTTATTTGATTTTGGATGTTTTGATTTTTCTATCTCCCCTCCCCCACATTGTGTGTGTGTGTGTGTGTATGTGTGTGTGTGTGTGTACACACACACAGACATGGACGCTGCTGCTGTTTATATCATAGACACTTCTGTGGCAATTTATTCCCCCTCAGTATACACTTCTGTTCCTGTAATAACACCCTCTGTGGCCTTTAAAGGAGCGGGGAGAGTGAGCATGTGCAGAAATACATCACAGGGACAGCTTGGCTCCTGGCTCTCGTGGGGTCGCAGAAGGGGGTGGGTGTGTCCTTGGCCATGGGTCCCACATACCAGCATTCCGGAAGGCCAGGCTCTTAGATGGAGCCGACCTGAAGTGGACTGGCTTCCAGTTTCCTCACACCCAGCAGTTGTCCCAAGGCAAAGATGAGTCACCCTGCCACACTCTCGCACCGGCCCTCCCAATTTGCCCCGAGGTGGCCATATTTCATAGCCTGGACTGTGGGCTTGCAGCCAGCCTGGCTGCCTGGGGAGGTGAGCCCAGAGGGGCAGAACGTGGACATAGACAGGCAGGTATTGGGAAGTGAGATGCCACCCACCTCGACATTCAGGAGCTCCAAAGTCTGAGCTGCGAAGGACTCATGCCCCTTGTCCCACCCCCATAGACAAGGGGAGGTGGAGCACAGTCCCTGCTGCCTGCCCTTTTCCAGCAGATCATGGGTGTTGCATGTGCTTTCTCTTTTCGTACGGAATTTTAAATAGACGCATTTCTTGCGTGTTTCCAAGTTCTGAAGGCCTCATGACAGGTTAGGGGCAACTCTGCATTGGAAAGTGTTGTCATCCATTAGGTTCAACAAGCAAGTAAAAAAAGAAAAAGTGAGTAGAGCTGGACACCCCAAGCCTCACTCATCACCTTCAGTGCTGGGTTCCCCTTTTCTTTTACGGAAACCATCTGATTGACACCTTTACGTTTCTCAGGAAGAGGAAAATTTAATAGCTTATCATATGAGGGATCAACCCTATATATAGCGAGAGATAGTCTAGGTTTGTGGCATATTTTCTTGTTACCTTATGTGAGAAGAGAAGGTTGTGCCTCATAAACATTACTGGCAGTATGTGGGGAGGTGACATTCAAAGGAGACAGTGGGTGAAGAGTTTTCAATCCATTAAAACTGCAGATAAGGAGAAAAGACATTCCGTGTCTGTTTAATATGGAACATATGGGAGGCTGGGGGATGCCTGCCATGGCGTGTTGGGAATGCAGTTGTTACAGAAAGATGTTCTATACGTGCACAAAAAGGGTTCTGGAAGCCAGGTTGGGAATTTGTAGTTAAATCTTCAGGGAGCTGAGGCATGCTTCTTAACGAGGCGTCAGAGCCCATCTGCAGCCCTCAGGCCTGTCCTGGCAGATTCACACCCCCAACTTCACACATCCACAAAAGTGCGCGGTGGTTCTAACCCACACTTAGATACACGCGCACAGGGGCACACGCATGCCTTCTGCGTGCAGGCCCGCGTTGGCCCTATGACACTTGGCCAGTGGATCCCAGGGCTGGAACTCCCTTCGCAAGATCCTCGCAGCCCAGATTCCCAGGGAAAACTTGAATAGAGGTGGAAGAGTGTTTGATGATAGAAAAAAAAAAAAAAAATCTGCTTGCTTGCAATTCTCGCCATGGCCAGAATGCTACAATAAACTGTTGCTTTCCAGAGCCAGGGAGGGCGAGGGCAGGCAGGGGGAGGAAGCCGGAGCAAAGAGGCCGCAGAACTTGAAAGACAGAGTTGGAACTCCGGCCGAGAGCGCCAGCGCCCCCCGGGGTGGCGGGGGCCGGGCAGGGGCGGAGGAGCACCCGGAAAGGGTTAACGCGGGAGCCGAGCGTGCGGCGGAGGCGGTCCGGATCGGGCCGGGCCCGGCCCGGCGGGCGCCGGGCGCTGTCCCTTTAAGGCGGGCGGCGCGGGCCGGCCGAGCGCGGCTGTGATTGGCGCGGCGGGATCACTGGCTCCCCGAGCCCGGCCCGGGGGAGTCGGCTGGAGCCGGCTGCGCTTTGATAAGGTCCTGGCAACTCAGTAACAACCCGAGAGCAGGGAAATAAAAATAACCCCGCGCTGCAATGGACTTCGGGGCTGCCCGGCGTCCGAGGCGCCCGTCTCCCCCGCCGAAAGCCCTGCTGTAAAAGGTGGGGGTGGAGGCGCGGCCCCAGCGGAGCCGCTTCAAAGAAAGCCCCCCTAGGACAGGAGGCGAGGTCGCGCCGAGCCGCGTCGCGGGCGCCGGGGGCGGGAGGGGGTCCGGCCCAGCCGAGCCCGGGCCCGAGGGGCGGTGTGAGCCGGCCGGCCCCGGGGAGGGGCGGCGGGGGCACCGGGGGGCGGCCGGGGGCGCGGCCGGCGCGTACCTCCCTTTCAGGACCGTGCGCTCGGCTCGCGCCTTTGAAGTGCACAGTTAAATCCACAGCGCAGTTTTTGTTGGAAGCGCCCGGAGGACATTTGGTGCGCGGAGTGACTGCTGGAAACAGGACCTGTGTTGAAAGCCGGGCCGGGCGGGGGCCGGAGGGGCCGGGGGCGGCCGCGGCGGGGGCGGAGGCCCACTCGGGTCTTTTGCATAAAAGGGGCGGCGGAGCGCGCCGCTTCACCCTCCCTCCCGGTGGAGCTCGCTCTAATCCCGGGATTGTTGTTTCCCCGCACCCGCCTCCCCTGCCGCGCGACTCCCGATGTTCCCCGACGCCGGGACCGGCCCGGGGGGGCCCGGGGCTGCCGCTGCGAGCCGATCCGGGGGCCGGGGCCGGGGCCCTGCCCGGGGCGCCTGCGAGGTCTCGCCGCGGAGCGCGCCCGCGGATCAATGGTGAGTGCCGAGGCCGCGGCGGCCCGGCGGCCCGCGCGCTTTGATGTGCCGGCGGCCCTTTGAAGTTGGCAGGCCGGCTATTTCGGGGCGCTCTCCGGGCTGGCGCGGAGGGGAGCGGCGGGCCCGGCGCCCGGCGCTCCGGGAGGCTTGGCCGGGCCGCCCCGCGCGCCTTGCGCCCGGGGCCCCCTCCCCAGCGGGGTGGCGGGGCCCCCGGCGGAGAGACCTCTGCAAGTGGCGGCTGCGGCGGGGTTGGGGAGGGGGCAGATTCCCCCCCCCCCCCACACGCCCGGGGGTCGCATCGCTGTCGTTGTTATGGATGTGAGTCGGGGTGTGAGTGTGCGCGGGAGTGCCTTTGGAAGGTGGGATGAAAGGGTGGCGGCGCCCCCCGCTTGCCCTCCCCCCGCCCCCCCCCCCCCCCCCCCCCCGCCTCTCCCTCCGCCCCCTCCTCGCCTCCCGCCTCTCTGCCCCCCTCCCCTCCTCCCCTCCCGGCCGCCGGTCCGCGCTTAGGGGCCCCGAGCACTGGCCCTGGCTCAGTCTGCGCGCAGGAGCGGCCAGGGCCCGGGGCTCCCGCGTCCCCCGCTTCCCCCAGCGTGCCTCCTCCCAGCCCGGGCCCCGCGCCCCCGGCCACCCCGGCCCCTTGTGCGGAGAGGCAGAGGCTCCGCGCGTCGCCATTTCTGGACTAAGCTGCTGCTTTCCGTGCCTCTTCGCGAGCGGCGGCGCTGGGGACCGACCCGCGCCCGGGCTCCGGGTGCCGCGAGCGCCTCCCGGGGCTCTGGCCCCGCGCTCGGCGGCCCGCTCGCCGGGGCTCTGGACGCGTTCGGTTGGATTTGGGCCGGGGGGGGGGCGGGCCGGTGGGGCTCGGCGGAGATGAGAGCCCGGCCTTGGGCCGCCTTCTTCTTCCAGGTAACGGGGCCGCCCCACCTTCCCTCCGCCCGGGCAGCGCGGCGCTCCCGGCGGCCCCGCCACTCCGCCGGCTGAGCTGCCCAGCCCGGCCCCCCGCGAGGCCCCTCGTTCGGGGTCGCGCCCCCACCCCCCCCCGCCGGCCCGCCCCTGCCCTCCTTAGTTTGATCCTTCCCGTGCTGGGGAAAGCGGCGTGTTTATTGGTTAGATGAGACTTTTTTCTTTTGGAAAAGACAGGATTGGGGTCAGTAGAGTTTGGGATTCTTGGCACAGGCAGTGGTAGAGAGACGGTTTCTGATCCGGTTTTGTAGGGTTTGTGGCTCCGGGAGGTGAGCTGGGGGCGAAGGGGGCGGTGGGTCCTGAGGCTTCTCTGCCTCTCTCGCAAAGTTTGAAGATCAAAGTCTTGTCTGAGTGAGTTGATTTCTGGTTTGGGGGAACGGGGAACACAGAGGTGTAGACTGAGCCGGATTCTTGGCGGGAGGCGGGGGCGCCGCGAACATTTACATCTGGGTGGAGGGGGGCGTTTTCCAGCTGGGAGCCCATTCCGCCCCTCGCTGGGCGGGCTCCTTTCTCGGTCGCGGATCTTCTGAATTTTTAAGGAGTGGGAAGGGGGAGCGCCGAGGGAAGGGGTGGGTGGGGGGAATGGGAACCAGATGCCGGGGAAGGGCACGTTTGGAGCTCGAGTTATCTGTGCTGAGAGCGGAGTGGGGAAATTTACCGAAATTGGTTTCACCTGCACACAGCCCGGCGGCTCGGTGCGCGTCTTTGGAGTTGATGCTATCGGGGGAGGGGGTCGGGGGGAGCAGAGGGGAGGGGAAGAAAGCGCAGCGGAGCCCGTGCGGAGCTGAGGCTGCCCTGCGTGCACCCCGGCCCAGGGGCTTTTTGGAAGATTCAGTCTTACACCTTCCAGGCCCCTCCGCCCCCCCCCCCCCCCCCCCCCCCCCCCCCGCAATTGTGCAGGGAGCTCAGATTTCGCCTTTGAAAAAGCAGCGTCTGATACTTTAGATGAGCACCTCGCAGATAGCTGGGTTGCTTGATTTGAATTTGAGGAGTTGAAAAGCCTGTTTACTTTCTTGCTTTGATGTTGGGTAGATCTGGTTTTGATTAGATCAATACCCCTTTCTCTCTCCCTACCTCCCCCCTTCCTTTTCTTTCCAGAAAGGAGGCTCAGATGAGCCCCTGCTGACTTGAGAGAGAAAGAGAGACCACGCTGATTGCTGAGAAGAGCTGGGGGAAGAGGACAAACTCCGGAGGAAGAACTCCCTCACCATGAGCAGTGCTGTGCTGGTGACTCGCCTCCCAGACCCCAGCAGCAGCTTCCACGAGGATGCCCCCCGGCCCCCGGTCCCCGGGGAAGAAGGGGAGACCCCGCCTTGCCAGCCCGGGGTAGGAAAGGGCCAGGTCACCAAACCCATGCCTGTCTCCTCCAATGCCAGGAGGAACGAGGATGGGTTGGGGGAGCCCGAGGGACGGGCATCCCCGGATTCCCCTCTGACCAGGTGGACCAAGTCCTTGCACTCCTTGCTGGGCGATCAAGATGGTGCTTATCTCTTCCGCACTTTCCTGGAGAGGGACAAATGCGTGGATACCTTAGACTTCTGGTTTGCCTGCAATGGCTTCAGGCAGATGAACCTGAAGGATACCAAAACTTTACGAGTAGCCAAAGCGATCTACAAGAGGTACATTGAGAACAACAGCATCGTCTCCAAGCAGCTGAAACCGGCCACCAAAACCTACATAAGAGATGGCATCAAGAAGCAGCAGATTGATTCCATCATGTTTGACCAGGCGCAGACCGAGATCCAGTCGGTGATGGAGGAAAATGCCTACCAGATGTTTTTGACTTCTGATATATACCTCGAATATGTGAGGAGTGGGGGAGAAAACACGGCTTACATGAGTAACGGGGGACTGGGGAGCCTCAAGGTCGTGTGTGGCTATCTCCCCACCTTGAACGAGGAAGAGGAGTGGGCCTGTGCTGACTTCAAGTGCAAACTGTCACCCACTGTGGTTGGCTTGTCCAGCAAAACCCTGAGGGCCACAGCGAACGTGCGGTCTGCCGAGGTTGCTGAGAATGGATACAGGTAGGACCTTGTCTGTCCGGGGAGGGTGGGTGTCTCTCCAGGGAGGGGTCTGGGGGCTGGCGGCAGGGGGGGGGAGTGGCAGGGGCTGGTGTGGGCTTTGCAGATGTTTTGAGTTAAGTGGGATGGATGGTGGGATGGATAGGCCTCTGAGGCTGAAGAAGGTCTGTTGAGAGCTAGGACCGCTGGCCACAAACCCTTTGATCTTGGCTTGTCGTTGTTAAAAGTGGGGAGAAGTACCGCACACAGCTGAATCGCAGCCTGCAGTCTTCCAGGACTGACTTCAAACAGTGGCAAGCAGTATTCATTAATGCGGGTTACTTATTATCCTGGACCAGTCTTAGAAGGCTGGGGGTTGGGGGGGTGGAGAGAGAGAGAGAGAAGACAACAGCTTTTGATGCCTCTGAGTCACTGAGTACACTAAGCGCCGGTTTTGGAAGGGGTCACTCACCACTCATCAGTAGTGAGAGGAATGGATGTGGCCAGGGAGGCAGCTGGGTTGTGGAGGCCCAGGGAGCAGCGTGCGCACCCACTGGACGTGGGGGTAAGTGGGGTCTTTCGAACTCTCCGTGCAGACGATAGTCAGCAGTTGGCTTCACAACTGAGGCTGTGGTTCTCTTTGTACATTGGGTATCCACCCGGCAAGAAACCCTTCTAACTAGGGAAGGTCCTGTGACTTTCCCGAGTAAAGGACCCTTGGCTTTAGAGTCCGCTGGTAGATTAATCTAGATTTTAAATGCTGGCGGCCTGAGGCTCAGACCTCCGTGGACGGTTGTGTTGCTTAGTGTTGGCGGACAAGAGTCTTGGATGGAGAGGACAGGGCCCTGGAGTACTTTGCCTTTTTGAGGCTTCAAAGATCAGCAGTCCTTTACAGAATGGCCAAGTCTTAAGATTCTTGACCTTTGACAGCAAGTTCAGACCTCCTGTTAGAAATGAGTTTTTCCGTGTGTCTCCCTCCCTCCCCCTCCAGATACCCCAAATGAGCCTCTCGCTTCTAGATCCGCTGCTTGAGGCATGGCAGCGGAGGGGGTGGTGGGCATTTGATCCCTCTCTGCCTCCGGTATTTCTTCGTGTGTTTGGGACCGGGGATGCAGTCTGGTGGCTGCCTCTGCGGAGACTGCCCTCTTGGCGGGTCCCGCCTCCGGGGTCCCACAGGAACACCAGGGCCTAGAAGCAGTGATTTAGGGGTGGCCCAGAGAGCTTCCCCCCCCCCCCCCACCGGGAGTGAAGACAGCTCATTCTCCAGCCACCAGAGGGCGCTCCTGCAGCCTTGTGCTCCGGTTCACCCACATTCAGACATCTGGTCTACACCCAGGTGGAACTCCATTGGCTTTTGAAAGGAAGTGGAGGATCACGTGAAAAGGAGTTGTTTCAGCATCTTTAAGCTTCGGGTGTCAGGTGGTTTTGCGGAAGATACTGGGTCCGGCCTCTGTGGCCAGGCAGTCACCAGGCACCTGCAGCTACGCCATTAAGGGAACGTTCTGGTAAATGGGTGCTGGTCTCATTGCTGCTCTAGGGACTTTCCAACAGTGGAGCTTCTGTGTTTCCCACTGTCAGGACCCAGAGTGGCTCGTTTGGGAACAGTGGCCCCTTTGTCAGCAGCACCGTGCGTGGTTTGCGTGTGGTTTGGGATGTCACCGAAGAGAGAGTGCTGCCAGGCAGGACCCTGCTGCGACCCCTCCCCTTTGTGGGTGGGCAGTAGAGAGCCAGCCTGGGTGGGCCCCTCCCCCTCCCAGAGGCCTCCACTGGGATCAGACCAGGATTAAACTTTCCCGAGATGACTCTGGTGAACTTTTTGAGATTCTGGGGGCAGGCGCCAGAGGTCCTTGGTGGTTCCAAGGTGTGGACTGTGGGCTTTGTTGATCCGTAGATGACACCTTCTCACCCACCCCTGTGGTCGTCACACTCTATTTGTGGGTGCCTTTGCACCCTGTTGGATTAAAATAAAGTGTTTTATCTGTACCACACGGAGCCCACCACGTCTTGACTGGGCATCCTCTCAGAGAACCTAGGACCTATTCGGTTTCACTGGAACGTTCAGGATCTTCAGGTGGACACAGGGTATATTGGGAGGTGTCCCACATTTTTCCAGGGCCTGGCTTCCAGCCCTGTCCACTCATCACTACATGGTGGAAGTCTTTCTAGCCTCCCATGTCCTCTGTGATGACTGGGCAGCCTCCCTCCTGCTTGTGTCAAGCTCGCTCTTCGGATCAAAACACTGGACAGGACAGCCCTGGTTATAAAGGGAAAGGTTCTGAACTCTCGCGAAGTCGTATAACTGTGATAAGGAGTGGGTCCAGGAACGGGGCGGCCCGCGCTCCCTGGAAGCCCACCTCCCAGGCCTCCGCTTCTCTGCGAGCTCAACTTCAGCCTGGGTCTCCTCAGCCAGCTCCTGGGATGCGGGGCTCCTGGCCGACCCTTTCATCTCCGATAGAGGCCGACCCCCCGAGTCCTGCCAAGGGGTCTGCTGTCCGCAGCCGCAGAGGAGCCGGCCCGGTTTCCAGGCCCCGTGTTTACCTTGGGCGCTCGGGGGAAGGCCTCCTTTTTAATGACTTGTTTGTGGCCTCCCTGATTTGGTGTCAGGTTGGATATAAATAGTTGGAACCGAAGAGCGAGAATTATCCTTGGAGGGGAGGACTCTGGTTTGGGAGCGCTGGAGTGGGATGCCTGGGCTTTTGACGGGCTCTGTAAATAACTCGGAGCCGGAGGGACCCGGCGGTAGGAGCACGTGCCAGAGCCCAGCACACAGACGCGGGGTGTCCCAGGGTGTGTGCGGAGGGGCGGTGGCATGAGGAGCTCGGCCTGGCATGTATTTTGGGAAGGAGACCGTGCTGGGCTCACAGAGTGCTCCCTTGTGTCCTCCCCTGTCTGCCCCAGCCCTGGTGCCCTCCTGTGCCAGGCGGGTCTCCTGGGCCTGCCGTTGGACCTCTCCTCTGTCCTCCCTTCAGATGAGTCGGGCCTAGCCCATGGCCCTCTGCTGGCTCCAAGTGCTTCCTGTTCTCTGAGAGAGCTTGCTCAGGAGGCGGATTTTTGTGCGAAGCCACTGGAATCAGGCTCGGCCTCAGTTATCAAAGAAGATGATGCCACAGGAAAGATAGGCTGGGAGCAGTGGCCCCCAGTTAGAGGCTGGGCTCTCTGAAGGAGGCAGTTTGCCAAAACCCACTTGTGAGAGCTGGCCTGTTTCTAGTGGCTCAGCCGCCCAAGGCCACCTGAGTGTCAGGCCCCTTACTGAATGCACCCCCCACCCCCGCCACCATCTTGCCTTAGAAGATGCTTCTTGAAGAGGTGGTTGCCTTTGGGGCAGTGTACTTTGGTGGTTGCCTTTGGGGCAGTGACTTTGGAGTACATTGTCAGAGGGCTTTTGGCAAGCCCTAAACGTGGAAATACTTGTTAAGTTGTACTGTTTGGAGAGAGGAGGCCCCAAACGTCAGGTCTCTGGTGTTCTCTGGGTGGCTGGGCCCTGGCGTGTGGGGGAGGGCGCAGGGGCCACAGCCCAGGCATCAAGATAAGAGATCAGAACGAGCTGGGGAAGAAAAAAAGGAAGAGCCAGGAAACAATTTCCCTTCCCTGAAGGTCCCAGGAGTCCCTGCTGCCTGACAGCCCAAAGCCCTTTGCCCATGGGCGTTGCAAACCGACAGGTCCGCCCCCTGCAGAATCGGTACTATAGGCCTCTGCTCTTTGTAGGAATTTAAAATCCTTGCAGCAGGGGTGCCTGGGTGGCTCAGTGGGTTAAGCCTCTGCCTTCAGCTCGGGTCCTGGTCTCAGGGTCCTGGGATCGAGCCCACATCGGGCTCCCTGCTCAACAGGGAGCCTGTTTCCTCCTCTCTCTCTGCCTGCCTCTCAGCCTATTTGTGATTTCTCTGTGTCAGATAAATAAATAAAATATTTTTTAAAAAATCCTTGCAGCAACCATGGGAGCATAACAGTCCTGAAGAAATAAAGCATCTGGGTACAATTACTGTAGCATGGTCAAGTTTCTTTCCCATTTCTTTTTTTTTTTTTTTTTAGGATACATGAAAAAGGGCTCTAATCCATTTTCTCAAAATCGTGTGGCGATTCTGACAATGTTCTGGGTTCTTAAAAATTGAGTTTCTATCTCCACGACCCTGCCTCCTTCCTCTGCTCCGTCCTCCCTCCTCTGTTACAATTGTAGGAAAACCCAAATACTTTCTTGCAGTCAAGCGAGCTAATAAGGGCAATATATTTTGTTTTTAAGGATGGTCACGAAAGCAGCCCTCTATTTGGGAAGCGGAAGAGGATGAGTTTATTTTGGGACCTGTGTGTTTTGTGATCCATTCCAATGAGTGCAAAGCTATGAGCACACACGGATTTGAGTTCTGTGTCTTTCTGGTTGGGGAGGGAGAAGGGATTTGTCTGGAGTCATTTGCTTCCCCAAAAGGTTGACCTCAGGACGTTGTCTGAGGGAATGCCGCAGAGACAGCAACCAGTGTCTGAAAGCTCTTGAAGGCCCCCTGGGCTCTTTTGATCTCGCACTAATGCCTCTTAGACTGAAACACTTTACAGCCACCCAGCAGATGGCCCCGTGTCTGTTAAGGAACTTGAGCAAAGTCTAGAGCTCCTGCCTCGCCCCACCACCTGGGGAGCCGCTGGCACCAGGGACCAACCTGGGCCTTGCCCTCATGGAGCTTCCGGTCTGGTTTCTGGCCTGTCAGGCATCTGAGGCCTAGACACCAACGCCGCGTGACCATAAGTCCTGATAAATACCACGGAAGAAGGAAGAGCCAAACCCCCGACAGCTCTGTTTTCCTCAGCATTTGGTTTTTTGAAGGATTACCAACATCTCCCCAAATTGCAGTGCCCTCGAGTCTTCGGAGATTGTAGGAGTTTCCTGCCGACGGGCATGTTGGAGCCAGGTGTTTTTTAGGTGGAGAGCCCATGTCCATGGAGCTGGTGACTTGACCGTGGCCACCTGCTGTCCCGGAGCTAAGCCAGCACCAGCGCTCCTTGGTTTGGTCCCTGTCAGGAAGGGCTTAGAGCACTTTCCTACCCCTGGGCTTCTGAAAGCTAGGAGGGGACCCAGGAGAAGTTTCCTTGTCAGAGCACCCCAGAGAGCAGGGAGCTTTGGGCTTTTTTAAAAGACCTGGGTGACTCCATAATCCTATCCCCTCCATGGTCCGCTCAGACTGGTAGGAAGTGCTTTCTTCTTTCTGACTTAAAGCCCATTTCCTCTCTCCTCTTGTCTGGCCTTTATTTTATTTATTTATTTATTTATTTATTTAAGGTTTTGGGTTTTTTTTAAGATTTTATTTATTTATTTATTTGACAGAGATCACAAGTAGGCAGAGAGGCAGGCAGAGAGTGGGGGAGGGGGAGAAGCAGGCTCCATCCCAGGACCCTGGGATCTCGACCTGAGCTGAAAGCAGAGGCTTTAACCCACTGAGCCACCCAGGCGCCCCTCTTGTCCTGCCTTTAGAGGCAGCTCCAGACATGGCCGTCCTCTCCTTCCTTCTGACTTCCCTTACCAACTAAGAGGCATTTGTACTCCGTCATCTCTCCTCCCGTTTCCTCTTTTTAAAAAAGTCTGCTGCCCTTCCTCTGCTCCCACCACTCCTCTCTCTCCTGCTTTGCTGTCTGGAGATCCCGTATCAAGGGCTTGGGACCAGGGCCAAGGCACGGAGGGCCTTACTGTCCTCGTGTAATCATCACAACATATTCTGGGAGGTGGGGAGACTTCTTGCTCTCTACACTGAGGACAGGGCCAGTGTCTCAAGGACACTTTAAGGTCACTCGGTCCAAGGTATTCAACAGGTTCAAGTGGGACCTACCTCATTTGCACTTGCTGGTAAGTTCTGTACCAGCATCTGGCTGTGTCTTCCAGTCTGGCTCAGGAGAACAGAATCATTGTCCCTGCTGATGTCGAGCTCCTAGGGGAGCCTAGATGTGGGTTTCCCGTGGCCACGTCTCCAGCCAGGTGGCCTCTGGCAAGGCCTTTGGCCTCCACCTGGGGCTCTGCGCCTCCTGCCACGGTTGTGAAGCTGCAGGGTGACTGGGCAGTAGAGCACCTGCTGTGTGCGGGGGTGCACCCGCACCCAGAACGGAGATCCTGCCTCTCCCGAGTGCCCCGTCTGTGGTGATGCTTGACTGTTACTCACTGCTCTGTACCAAGGAGATTGGCTTCATTCTGGCTCTAAACGTTCCTGCTCTGGATGTAACATTTCTCTTTTGTGTGCTCACTCTGGCTAGAGTGCAAGCTTTCCTGTCTCAGCTGCCCCCACGGAGGCCCTCACCCTGCACTGTGGCTGCGACCCCTGCCCACAGCCGACCCTCCTTCCGTCTGGTCTGGTGGCACGGCCCAGGTCCCACGTGCTGCTGGAACTTCTTGGACCCCTGAGGCTGGTCTCTGTATCAGGAGGCAGAAGGAGTTTGGGTGAGGGCCAAAGAAATCCGCGTCTTGCCAGCGACTCTGGCCTCTGCCCTGGGTGGCTGCTGTCCTGTATGGGCCTAGGACACCTTCTCTCCTAGGTGGCTGCAAGCACGGGGGGCTGTGATGTGTGTGAAGGCGTGCCCCTCTCCGTGAGCCCGCACCTCCCCAAGGGTGCCCCTTTGATATGGAGGCCAGCCCACTGGTGCCTAGAGAACAGAGACCCAGGCTGGGTCAGGCTAGAGCCCAACACCGTGCTGCACACACAGGAGGTGATAGGAGCTGGACGATGGCACGTAGAGGCTGCTTTGACCTTTCGTGAGTCCCTTTCATCTGCCGCCCCTAAGGCCATCTTTAGAGACCTGTGCAATGGCCTGATGGAATGGGTTCTCTCTTCTGGGCCTTCCCCTTCTCCCCCAGTTGATTTCTTTGCTGTTGGCTTAGACTTGGTGGGCCCAATGGAGTATGCCAGGGTCTTTGTCAGTGGGGCCATTTGTGACTTCGGGCTTGATGGGCCCCTTGCTGGAGCCTGCTGACACAGGAGGAATGCAACCCAGCAGGGGACAGGCACACTGGTGGTCCTGGGAGGCGATCAGGAGGGCAGAGTGGACAGGCAGAGGCCACTGAAACAAAGGGCGGGAGACACCGGAGGAGGGGCCTGGACCTTCTTTGAAACAGCTGTGCTGCTCATTCGAATCCTGCCTGTCTTAATCGTAGCCAAGGTACCTGGAAAAGGCAGGCCTGGTGGCGGGGGAGTGGGGCAGGGCCCAGCGGAGGCCCAGCTCCAGGTGGGGTACAAGTTCTGAACCTTGTCTGGAGCTTTTCTGTCCCATCTGTCCAGTGTCCCGGACCCGGGGTGGAAGTGAGAAGGTGATGCCAGGCCTTGGGTTGTGTGAATCTTGGAACTATGCTAACAGACCCCGGATGGGGAGTTTGGGTGCCTAAGACCCCTGGGGACCCCAAAACCGTGTTCTAGGGCAGGCTTGGCCATGGTGGTGGGGAGACCCTTCACCTCGACGCACTTGCTCTCCTCTTTGGTTTGACAGCCTCCCCTCCTAGAGCAGAGTGCTGTGCCTTCCTCTGTCTGAGTGTGCGTTTAGCCCTTTGTAGGATCCCCTGGGCTGCTTATGGCCTCCTCTGTCCCCTGGTAGCAGGGGAACCCAGCCTGCTTTCTTCCCGGGGTGAACCGGTGGCTTAGCTGCCCTCCCTTAAGTAGCCCCAGCTGTCTGCCCAGGTGAGCAGCTGGGCCTGGGCTGCAGGTTGGCCCTGGCGCATGGCAGGATCGTGCCCTCGCTTGTCCCCGAGTTGCCTGGTCGCCTGGGTGTCTGGTGCGAAGCCATGATGTGCCACTCTTGTGCTTCTCCCGCAGGTCATTCAAGAGGAGCGATCCCGTTAATCCATACCATGTAGGCTCTGGCTTTGTCTTTGCGCCGGCTACCAGCGCCAACGATAGTGAGATATCGAGCGACGCACTGACGGATGACTCCATGTCCATGACGGACAGCAGCGTGTAAGTATCCCAGTAGCCCTGTCATGTCCACGGCGGGCAGGGTGACCTGCCAGGCCAGCTGGCTGCAGTCTCCAGCCCCTCGCGGCTTGGCCTTGCAAAGCCCATCTGGGCGTGTGCGGACATTTGCTTGGTGGTGGGGGTGGGGGAGTGTGCTGGGGCTGGCGCACGGGTGGGGCGTGGGGGGCGATGGGGTCATCCAGGCGGTGGCAAGCTTAGAGCCGTGGAAGGAAAGTTGGCTGATGGAAACCTAAAGTAAGGTAGAAGGTTGAGATGACGATCCAATGGAAGACGTTGCCTTTCTTTCGTGGTGGACGTGCACGGCTGGTCTTGAAGCCCAAGGTGTCCAGTCTGCAGCACCAGGAGGTGGGAGACGGGGTGGCGTAGGGAGGATTTCTGTGTATGTGTGTTGGTTGTTTCCGAAGGACAAGGCGTTGATGGTGAGGGTCGGAAAGCCAGAGCTCTGCGAAGGCCCCCGCTGCGTGAGGTTCCCTTGTGGACGTGTTCTGGTGGACATCAGCTCACTACGTGCTGGCGGAGTGCCTGCTCTGTGTCAGCTTCCACCACCGAGTAGGGCTTCTCTCCAAAGTTGTCTGATCTGGGATCTTTGGAAGTCGAACGCATCTGGCATACTAAGGGTTTGCTCCTTTCTTTAAAAAAAAAAAAAAAAAAAAAAAAAAAAATTTATTGTTGAAGTATGGTTGACACCACGTTGTACTAGTTCCAGGTACACAACATTGTGATCCCGTCATTCTGTACATGGCTCAGTATTCACCATGACGAGTGTAGTCCCCACCTGCCACCAGCCCGCGTTGCTCCAGTGCTATTGACGAAGGTCCCCATGCCGTACTCTTCCTCTCCGTGACTGACTTACCGTGTAACTGGGGGTCTGTACCTCTTGGCGCTCTTTGCCTATTTCTCCCATCCCCCCACACCCCTAGAGTTTGTTCCTTTGCTTTCCAAAAACAATCCAAGTCATCAGCCTGCAAAGTCTGAGGAGGTCAGCAGGTGGGGTCTGTCAGGTGGGGTCACAGTTTGCATTGAAAGTCATCTGAAGTCATGCAGTGGTGATCTCTGTGTGGAGAACAGCCATTCTTTCTGTCTCATCACAGTGTGTGTATGTGTGTGTGTGTGTGGAATGGGGTACCCCATCTCTTGTCATCCTTTGGAATTCTGATTCAGGAGAGCCAAGGGAAGTGAAGCCTGGGGTTGGGCAAAAGTCCCCCAAGAGTCCACACAGCGTCCAGTTGAGAACTGCCATTCCAGAAAGGGTCTTTGAAGACGTTCCACAGGTTTGTTTGCAGTGGGAATCTCTTTTGCCAAGGGGACAGTTTGGAAAGGCAAACCCACTGAGCCATGTATCATGGCGTATGTAGAGTTTGTTCCTTTTAGCAGCCTCACTGGACCATCTCTTCTTCCAGTTTGTTGGAAATGATCTGGTTTCCATTGGCCAGGGTACTGTGTTTTGGCCTGTGGCATGGGGCCGCTTGGAAGGGAAGTCAATATGGTTGGTTTGGGATTCCACGGTTGGTCTCCCAGTGGCTTTCCTTGTGTTATCTCAGATCCCCCTGTCAGTCAAGGGAGGGAGAGCCACAAGGTGACAGGTTCCATTTTACTGCAAGAAGAGCATTTTGGCGTTAATAAGAAGCGAATAAGGGTACACCTCTTTCATCCAACATGGAGAAATGAGGGGTTCTGTGGAAGTTAGTTTCCTGTCCAAACTTGAGAAAAGTTACCCTTTGATGGTCACAGTCCTTAAAACAATACCATTTTTCCTATGTTAATTGAATAGGATGAGGCATAATTTATTGCTTGATCTCAATCATTAATATCCGATCTGTTTTCATGCTGTATTGTAGTGTTTCCTCCCAGTGCACAAGGCCACGTAAGGCCGTCTGCCCCTGCGTAGGCATACTGGCAGCACCCCCACTTTTGGAAAAATGGTTTTCCGTTTTTCTCTAGTCATTCTGCCTACTGCCATATTTTGCCATAGTCTGTCTGTGTGCTTGCTTCTAGCAACACTACTCCTTTAGCTTTTATTTGTGGATTGTGTGTGGGGGGGCAGTCTTAGCGTCTTGAGTGAAAGAGTTCGTTAGGTTGGAATGAGGGTGCTAAGACTATAAGGCTTCTGTTTGGTTTTCTTAGAGGCTGTTCTTGGCTGGCTTTCTGGCCCTTGCCTGCATGTCAGCCCCCACCATGGAGGCACTGTTCTGGATTCCTGATGAGCTAACTTGGGTGTAGTCCCCATGCCTGTCTGAGCCCCACAAGAGGTCAGGAGACAGGTGGTCACTTGTGACTCTCACAGCTGGGACAGTCGGGCCTTTTGCTAGTGCAGCAGGATGGAGCTCTCCTCCAAGGCCTATGTCTTTTGCCTGTCACTTCCCTCCCCGCAAACACGACGTGTTGGGAGGACCCATTGGGAATGAGACCTTTAAGCTGCTTTGAGGTCCTTTTATCTATTAGGGATCCACACTGCTTTCTTTTTTGAATGGTTTCGGGGAGGGATAGGAGGGAACAAGTTCTAACTTCTCTTTGGCACTGGCCCCACCCCTCCCCCCACCCCTCTTCATCAGCCCCTTCCCAGAAGGACTTTCTCAGTTTGTCTTTTTAGAGATGACTTGAAAGTTCTCGCCCTTTACATGTCAGCGGAGACACTTGTGGACATGGGAGGTTACCTTGGAGGTAACCTGGGAGGTTACCTTGGCTGGTCGGCTGTTCTAGGTCACTGGGATAGGGCGCGGGCTAGTAAACTGCATGTGGCTATAGGGCCAGGAAAGGGTGAGCCCCTCGATGCATCACTTTCTCTTTGGGGCATGCTAGTACCCCTGGGTCCCGAGTGGCAGGACATCAGGGCCAAAGGCAAGTGCCTGGAAGGCTTGGGGCCCCAGGGCCTTAGTATTGGGTCTGACCTTTTTGACGTCAGTGTTACCTGCCTCGAAGCCTTCTCCCAGCCAGACGGGAAGGTCATCCCTGAGCCACCGGCACAGCTCTACCCGTTGGGCAGGGTCATGCCAACTTGGGGCAAATATCTCATCAGTGTGGGGTCGTCCTCTCTCTCTGGAGTTGTTTGTCCAGGGCCATTTGTCTCATGCAGACCACAGTGGGGGCAAAGAGTTCTCTGGAATAAGAACCCATCCTCTGGGTGGTGGGTGGGGGTGGGGTTCCTCTGGGTCTCGGGCTGCCAGGCGCTGGGCGTCCCTGGGCCATCCTGCTCCTGAAGGCTTGGCGTGCACGGAGAGCCTGGGCTGTGCGGGCCACTTTCCGGCCGGCTGGCCCAGGGTGGGTGTGATCTGCCTGGCGTTGGGCGGGTCACCGGGATTCCCAGGGCTGGGATTAGACCCCTCTTCAGAGCGCGGCCAATTGTGGGCCTCGCACAGATGAGAGCAGGGAGCAGGCGAGAAATAAAGTGTGTGGGGGATGAAAAGTGGTACTGAACCGCTTTCAGCCCATTGTTCTTCTGGGGAGGCTTAGCGGGGATAAGAGGGTAGCAGGCCCCTTTGAAATTTCCTTGAACAAGTGAATAGGAACGCCCCATAAAGCATGAAGAGAGCCCTGGCTCTTTCTCCCTGTCACAGTGGGCGGCTTGGGCTGCCAGGGGCTGGGGAGTGGGGCTGGCCGCCCTGCTGGGGGGTGGGGAGGGGACCTGGCTGGGGAGGGGAGAGGGGGTCACAGGCGGCCTTCAATAGACTCCAGAAGGTCGGAGTTCATTAGACACAAGCCGGGGAAGCAATCGTCTCATTTTCGACAGGACCAATGAAGTCCCGGGGGCCTTTGCCAGAGGGCCCGAGTGGAAGCTGGGCAGGGCTGGCCTGCCCTGGGTTGTTCCGGGGAGCCCTTGGGGGGCCTGGAGGTACAGAGCTGCCGGGGGCTCCAGAAAAATCCCTGCCTCCCGCAAAGCCCACTGCTGACTTCTGTTTTCCTGCTAAGGAAAAAGCCTGTTAAAGATGGCTGGGGGTTTGGGCCTTCATGGTAGGCCTCGGAGAAGGCGGTGTTATGAGCCTGTTACTCTGAAACCACCATTCTCAGAAGAAATCGCTTTCTATTTTTTTCGGTGTGTGTGCGGGGGCAGTTAGCTGCCAGTCTCCCCAAAGTCCTAAACTCCGGTCCCTCAGAGTGCCAGGCGCAGAGGCTCGTGGGGCCATCCTGGAGCATCGGGCCTGGGAGGATGCCACGGGGGGCGGGCGCCGCCCAAGTGTGGCCCCTGTATGCAGGGCACAGCCAGGAAGCGTGGAAGCGACGCATGCGACACAGGGGGCATCTCTTGGGTGTCTTTGTCTTTGTGCAGAGCTGCTCTTGGAGTTAGGATCGGCCCGGTGTGGAGGCCGCTTCCGCTCCGGGTGTCACAGAAGCAGCGCGGGAGCCTGCCATGGCGGTTCCTGCCGAAGGGTGGAACGGGTTCTTTTCTTTATTGACTTGTATTTCCTTATATCTTATTCATGGGTTTACTCTGGGCACCAGCAAAGGCCCCCGAGTGAAGTTCAGATGTGATCTGATCTTACAAAACCAGGCTTTTGATGTCGGCTGCGATCAGAGGCTGCCTTCTGAGTGGTTGCCAGATGGGAGCGGGAGTGGACACGTGTGTGACCGCGACGCTTACCGCGAAGCCTCGGGAGGACGGTGCTCAGGCTGGGCTGGGCGCAGCGGAGTCCGCAGGCCGAGCTAATGGGCTTGGCTCACGTGGCAGCAGAGTGGAGTCCACGCTTCAAGACCAGCGCTCCCCAGAAGTGGCTGGGCCCAGCAGTGGGCTCGTTAGCTAAAATGCTTATAATTAGCAGAGGACGGTGTAGGGAACAGAACTCGGGCACTTGGTAGCTCACTGTGCTGAGCATCTGGGAGACGATGGATTGTGAAGGTCTAGAGCCTGAGTCCGAGGCGGAGTGGCCCTCTTCCGGAGTGCGGGGCTGTTGGGAAGAAGATTCTTGGCTGGTGCGGGGGTAAAGCCCTGTTTTCGTGAAGGTGCCTATTCATACGCCTCATCGAGCCTCTCTAAGTTGCGCTCTCTCTTCTCAGCCTCGGTCACAGGTTTCCTGTCCTGAGTTTGGCTCCTTCAGCTGCCCTAGGGGCAGTGCTGAAATCATTTGTTCTTCTGCCTTCAGTTGGCCAGGAACCTGCTCCTCCCCGCCTCCCCCTTTCTATATGTACTTACCCCAGTTCTCTTCTTTCTTCTGCTTTGTATGGAAAAAGCAAGAGGTATAAAAAACCTTACCTCGGATTTCCATCTGGGTGGAAAAGGGAAGAGCAGAGGCTCTAGAGGACACTTGAGGAGACAGAGTCTTGGGGGATGGGTGGGGACCTCCTCTCGGGCTCTTGAAGTCTTCCCCATGTCACAGGGAAGTCTGTGGAGTGCTTGACTCCTACTCCCCCCCCCCCCCAAAACTGTCAGGAAGAGGACTGGAGCAGAGGCCAGCCACCCTTTGGAAGTCTGCAGAGGTGTTGCTGGTCAGGAGAAAGTCATGGGCGTTATTTGTGGGGCAGCCCTGGCTTAATAGAAGTTGTTTAGATCCGTGTGAGACCCAACCTGGAGGACCTCCACGGTCACCCTCACCCCTCAAGGAACATTAGGCAAGAGACAAGGGGATCCTCACGGTGCCTTGGAAACTACCTGGCATGCCCCATAGCCAGTGAGTACCAAGTGGTGGGGTACTGTGTTCCGGAATGTTCCCCAAGTCTTCCATTTGCCCCTTTAGAGTGTCATGTGACTTCAAGGGGCTTAGGAAATGAACCAACAGGAAGCTTGGCTCCTCCAGGTAGGGTGGGAGGGTAGGTGGCTGAGTTAAGGACACCTGTTCAGGAGTCTGGCTATGGCTCAGATTTGGGATCCTGGGTCTAATTGCTACTGACTGACCCCACGAGAGCTACAGAGGGTCTCTGACTATCTGTAAAACTGGGTGAATTCGGGATGAAGTTGGAGTATACGTACCTTGGGGCAGGCCACCTCACATAGGACTCAGCCCCTTGGGTGGAATCTGGTTCCTGGTCAAGCCAGGCATGCTCGTGAGCGCCCAGTTTTCTCCCATCTTGTAGGTGATCCCAACGTGAAAACATTGAGGTTTGGTAAATATATACCAGGTGGTTCAGTAAGTTTCTGAACTTAGACCCTTTTATCCCACCTGGCCTTCGAGGGCCTGGTCAAGTGCGTGGGGGGCTGTCTTGGACATGGAGTCTGCGCTAGTCGCCTGGTGTGCTGTCTCTGGCCCTCTTGCCCTTTCTCTGGGATGGGACTCACCCTTGTGTGCATAATCCTGCTTTAGATATATTTTTTAAAAGATTTGTAGAGAGAGACAGAGAGCACACACAGTGGGGGGGAGGACCAAGGGAGAGAATCTGAAGCCGACTCCTGCTGAGCAAGCTGTCCCATGCGGAGCTGGGTCCCAAAACCCCTGAGCTCAGGACCTGAGCCGAAATCAAAACTCAGGCGCTCAACCGACTGAGCCCCCCAGGTGTCCCCCTGCTTTAGATACTGACACCTTTTCTCCCCCTGTACCTTCTATAAAACGATCCTTTCTGTGCTAATTCCTAGCCAGGCTTCGGCTAACTGACCTCAGGGATGTATGGACCGGCCATGATCTGTGTCATCCCCTGTGATCTGGCCTAGGTCAACAGATTTCTGGAAAAGGCAGCTGCTTGGAATTCTAGGGCATTACAGATAAGGAGCTGGAGGTCAACTGGTTCCCCCCGGCTGCTCCTGGGTATTTTTAGGCATTGCTGATTTTCACCCATGGCTGGTGAACCAGAGATGTTTTTCTTCCTTCCACCCAGTGATGAACAAAATGCCAGGAAAAGGGAAATAACCAAATACCTAATTTCAGTATTTACAGCCTCCAAGCATGATTCACTATGAGAATGCGGGAATGAGGCTTTGTCGATAGTGGCCTCTGGAAGGGCCAGCAGTGGGGGAAAAGAGTCACACCTTGACCATGGACTGCTTTCAAGCACGAAGTTTAAAAAAAAAAAAAAATCATAGTCTCTCCAGGTCATGTCTTAGTGAAGAGGCTTTTCTTTACTTTTCTTACCTCCTCCACTTGCTTTTTTTTTTTTTCTTTTTGGGGAGAGACATAGAGGCTCATCCTGCCTGCAGGTCTTTACTCAAAGGTCGCCTTCGTAGTGAGGACTTGGTTGGCACCCCCTCCCCAGCCCTCCGCATAAAACTGGAACTCCCTCACCGCCCCCCATCCTTCCTTCCTGTCTCTCCCTGTATTTTGGCCCAGTGCTTAACACTCTCTAACATGCTGTAGGTTTTGCTTTGATATTTTCCACTTCCTGCGTACCACCTGTTAGAATGTACGCTTTGTGAGAGCAGTCGTCAGCATCTTCATCCCCTTCTGTCCCTGCTGTGTCGCCCGGCGCCTGGAGTAAGGTCTCACGTAGTAGGTGCTCACATACTTGAAATTGCTCAGAGTGCCACATAATAGGTGCTTTTTCTTTATGCCCACATTGGTCCCGTGTCCGTGGGAATTCCTTCATTTGGAGGGGGGCGGTTAGCAGTACGGTTTGGAGCCGGGGGATGGAGGATCCCAGAGATGCTCTTGTGGGTGATTTATAAAAGGAAGACATTTGGAAACAGGCGGGGGCTTGACTGTTGGAGAAGGATGCACCACTTCACTAGGCTCAGCTTTCTGCGGGCCTGGTCCCTCTTCCTGCAGTGTTTTGCCCTGGTGTGCTCCAAAGGGGCCTGAGTTTTCTCCCACGTGTACCGCCTGTGAGATAAAACGGGGAGCCATCACTCTGGGCTGGCTGGAGTGTAACCACTTCCCAGGCAGAGCTTGCAGGAGGACCTCACCGAGCTCTTTCCAAGTTGTTGGTCCCGAATCTGAGAGGGAGCCAAGTTGCCAGAGGTGGCTGATGGGCAGGGGGCTTGGCAGCTGGATCTGGGATTGGTCTTTCCCCTTGGGGGTAGTAGCCGTGGGGCCCAGGACGGGGGCACAAGTGCATGGAGGCATGCAAAGGCCCTCTCCACCCCTGGGTCTCGGAAGGGCTTGGGACTTAGCCCACATGCTGAAAGCATCCTCCTGAGCCTGTGGGTTCTGTCTTTTCCCTTCCCTTAGAGATGGAATCCCTCCTTACCGTGTGGGGAGTAAGAAACAGCTCCAGAGAGAAATGCATCGCAGTGTGAAGGCCAATGGCCAAGTGTCTCTACCTCATTTCCCGGTGAGTATTGTCTGGAAGGGGAAGGCAGGTGGTTTTGGCCATGTTGAGTCTTGCAGAAGAGGGATGGGAGGTGGAGGGGGGCAGGTCTAGGGTCAGAGGAGCAGCAGTGCCTGGGGTATGCTAGGGGAAAGGGAAGGAAAGGGGGAACCAGGCAAGAGGTGTTGTTACCTGGTTCCTCGGGCTGTGATGCTGAGCAGAGGGAAGCTTGAGACGACCTCCTTGAACTTCTACATTTTCTCAATTCAACAAAGAAGATTCTTTCCAAAGAAGAAACCACAGCAGTTCTCTAACAGAAACCAAGCAATGGTGGGATTAAGCCATGCTTCCTTCTGTGGGTTCCCACTAGAATGGAGATCCCCCGAGGGCAGGGAGTTTTGTCTGTTCCACGAAATGCCCTGTACACAGTGACTATGGCTGGTGCATAACAGGTGCTTACTAAAACGTGCTGATTGACTGCATGTATGAGGAGGCTGCAGGCATCTCTGCCTCCCTCAGAAGGAAAAGTGCATCCCTGGGTCGTGTCTCCTGTTGACTTCCAAAGACCCGGAAGGCAGCTGTCCTGTCTTGTCTGTTCCCAACCCCACAACTTGGCTTAGTACCTCCTGTTGGATCTGCACTTCATAAATGCTGAATGAATGAAGCCTTGGGAAGTTAGGATCTCATGAGCAGCTTCTCCCTGTGATTGACAGGAGAGGCCAGCATGGCATGAAGATCCTTTCCTTGTATCTCCTCCTCTGTTTCCAAGGCCCGGAGGGCGGCCAGCATGTGGTCCCCCCTAAACCCAGCAGATGCCCCTCGTCTGTGTTTTAGGAGCTGTGCTTCTTGCAACACGCTGAGATCCAAGGCTGCAAGAGTACTGTCCTTAGGGAGGGGAGGGGAGTGACGAGCTCTGAGTGGCACCTCCGTTCGCAAATCCTTCCTGCCAGCTTCCGAGAATGCCATTGGCTCATCAGTGATGTTTCATTCAGGAAATTAACACATCCAGTTGCTGATCTGACATTGTGGGGAGTGCGTGGGTTACTGTCGCTTAGAGCAGCTCCTCTCTGAAAGCCCCTGACCGTCCAGAGGGGACTTGGTCCGAAAATTTAGCATATTAACAATGCTTTCCTGGGGCCCTTCAGCAACCCCCCCCCCCAAACACAGCGGTATTGGGGACACAGGTTCTTTTCTGGGCAGGCTTTGGGGGTGCAGAGGAGTATGCGTGTGAATAAAAATTCTACCGCCCACACTTGTACGTTAGGTGATTTTGTCCTGGGGTGTGCAAATCGACTTTCTCCATAAGGCAGAGCTTTGATCTGGGCCGAATGGAGCCAGCCTGCCTGAGAACGGCCTGTTCCTGGGGGGCCTTTCTCCCCGCCCCACCCCCATACATGGTTCCCTGGCTCTGTGGGTGCCCATCAAGGAGGCGAGCCCTGCTCAGCTGCAGGGGGAACACAGACCTTTCCAGGTCAGCTTTCTGCCTCCCCCACTCATCCTGAAGGAAAGGGCAGAGCAAGAGGGCCATTGAGGAAGGACGAGGCCGTCCGCCAGAGGGGCGGCGGTGGCGGGAGGACCAGAGGATGTAGAACCCGGCAGTGGGAGTCCTCTGTTTGCTGCTTTTGGCAGGCACCCTAGGTGCCTTTTTATATTCTGTACTTGATTTGGAGATGTTCCCTTTTCCCTTGATAGATCAGCTTCAGGCAGCCCAGCGCAGTGGTGCTCTGCTAGCCCGCAGCATCTTTCTTCATTTTCTGTACAAAGAGCTGGGGAGGAGGGGCGCGGAGAGCCGGGGAGATCTAGGACAGTGTTGAGACAACACCACCTCAGAGGTGCGCAGTGTGCGGCCACGAAATAAATTACCACTTCTTCTGATCCAGCTGTGTGACTCCCTTTTTTTTCCTGCCCCCCCCATGGCCCCCACCTCCCTTCCAGTCTTTTTTTTAATTTCCAGTTCCCTTTCTGTTTAGACTCTACTTTTTATTCCTTGAGTTGGTCCCTCTCTCCTCCCTCCCTACTGCAGAGGGCTGCTTTTTTTTTTTTTTTTGATGTTTGACAACAGTCTTTGAAGATTTCCTACTTCAGAGTAGCTACTGATGGGCTGGTTGTACTACAGAGAGAACAAGCCGGGCCTCTCGGAGTGCGACCAACTGCTCCTGCCCAAGGCAAACGCTGGTGGGGACCATGGCTCTCCATGAGGCCGCGGCGCTGGCGCATAAAGCTCCCGAGCAGCCCGGGCGCCTCGCCCGCCGCTCTCTGCCCGCCTGCCTGTCCACCCTTGCAGCTCTGGCCGTGGCTGTGGTTGTGGTTGTGGTTGTGGCCGTGGCCGTTGCCGCCAGGCCCAGGAAGCTCCGGTGCGCACCGCGTGCTGGCCCCGCTGAACATGCCTCGCGTCTTCCCTCCCCGCGCCCCGTAGAGAACCCACCGCCTGCCCAAGGAGATGACCCCCGTGGAGCCCGCCACCTTCGCGGCCGAGCTCATCTCCAGGCTGGAGAAGCTGAAGCTGGAGCTGGAGAGCCGCCACAGCCTGGAGGAGCGTCTGCAGCAGATCCGAGAGGTAGTGCGGGCCCCCGTCCACTCCCCGGGGAGGCCCGCGCCCCGCCGTCCGCACCCCTCCACTGTCCCCGCGAGACGTGGCGCCGCCCCTGCCCGTGACCCACTGACGACCCAGGCTGGCCCCTCCCGCTTACCGGTTCGCTTCCCCCTTCTGCCGCCTGCCCCTCAGGATGAAGAGGAGGCCTCCGAGCTTGCGCTGAGCTCCAGGGACGGGGGCCCCGCCCCGCACCCTCTCTCCCTCCTGCCCTCCGGCAGCTACGAGGAAGACCCGCAGACCATTCTGGACGACCATCTGTCCAGGGTCCTCAAGACCCCCGGCTGCCAGTCCCCGGGCGTGGGCCGCTATAGCCCTCGCTCCCGCTCCCCCGACCGCCACCACCACCATCAGCCGTACCACCCCCTGCTCCCGCCCGGGGGCAAGTTGCCCCCCGTGGCCGCCTCGCAGGCCACTTGCCCCCTCCTCGCAGCCAAGAGCTTCGTGACCAAGCAGACCACCAAGCATGTCCACCACCACTACATCCACCACCACGCCCTCCCCAAGACCAAGGAGGAGATCGAGGCGGAGGCCGCCCAGAGGGTGCGCTGCTTCTGCCCCGGGGGCACGGAGTATTACTGCTACTCCAAGTGCAGGAGTCACCCCAAGGCAGTGGAGCCCGCGCAGGCGGAGCAGTTTGGGTAAGTGCCAGGCAGACCAGGGTATCCCGTTGGGGCTTTCTCTCTCACCCAGGGACCCGGGCAGGTGCGAGGTTGGGGGGGTATATCGGAGTTCATAGGCAATTAGCTTCCAGGAGGGAAGCGCGGGGTGGGGGGTGGTAGGGGGAGCAGGTGCATGGGTCTTTCGTGTCTCCCCGCGCTGCTCTCCGACCTGCCCGGATTCGAGGAGCCCCAGAGATGTGACGTGGCCTTGGGGCTGGGTGTGGTTCTTGGTTCCCCGCAGCAGCAGCAGAGGCAGTACCCTGCCCAAGCGCAGTGGGAGAAGCGTGGAGCCGGGCCTGGCCCCGCCCGCCAGGGAAGGAGGGGCGCCCGGCGGAGCGGGGGCCCTGCAGCTTCCAGGGGAGGAAGGAGACAGGTCGCAGGATGTCTGGCAGTGGATGCTGGAGAGTGAGCGGCAGAGCAAACCCAAGGCCCCTAGGTAAAGAGCACCGCCGCCGCGGCCGGGGTCACGGGCGTCCCTGCGGAGGTATTGTGGGGTGGCCGTTTCTGCAGTTGGCTGAAAACATGGGACCGTGTGCTCCGGCCGTCTTCATAATTAAACGCCGGACTGAGCAGATCGCAAAAATGCCCTGTTTTGGCACCGCCCCCTGTCTGTGTGAGGATAGGATCTTTTTTTTTTTTTTTTTCTTTTTGAAGGCAGGATAGAGAAGTTTCTACTGAAGTCATCGTCTCCAGATTTTTAACCCCTTTTCTTTCCTTCTGCTCTCTCTCTCTCCTCTTGCCCAGTGCCCAAAGCACAAAGAAGGCTTACCCGCTGGAGTCCGCCCGTGCGCCACTAGCCGAGCGAGCCGGCCGGCACCACCTGCTGGGGGGCAGCAACGGGCACCCCCGCGCCACCCCCCGAGCCCACCCGTTCACCCAGGACCCGGCGATGCCTCCCCTGACCCCGCCCAACACGCTGGCGCAGCTGGAGGAGGCCTGCCGCCGGCTGGCTGAGGTGTCCAAGCCCCCCAAACAGCGGTGAGTAGTGGCGACGCAGAGGTGGGGGCGGTGGCTGGGGCTGCGGGGAAGGGCCTTCTCTCTGCCTGCGTCTGGAGCGGCGCTCAGCAAGGAGGGGTGGCCTCTGGCTACAGACCCGTCTCTCTCCCACCCTCAAGAAACTGTTCTTTTAGTTCTGTTTGTTCTGAAGAGCTAGCCGGGCTCTGTGTGTTAGGCGAGGCGGCCGGGAGGACAGTGAATGTCTGTCCCTCCTTGCAAATGCCCCCATCCCGCAAGACTGGGAAGATGAGCGTGTGAGACACCTGATAGTTGGAGGATCCAGAGCTTCGGCCCTTTGCCTGGGCGCGCATCGCCCAGTCCCTGGGCTCCCAGGGGGCTTACGGTGGCTGCTCCCCACGGATGGAAGTTGGGTCTACAGAGAGAGCCCAGAGCGTCAGGATTTTCTGCCTGCTCCCCGCGTGCCTCTCACTCCTCCACTCCCACTGTGTCCTCAGGTGCTGTGCGGCCGGTCAGCAGAGGGACAGGAATCACTCCGCCGGGGGTCAGGCGGGAGCCCCGCCCTTCTCCAGCCCCAGCCTGGCTTCCGAAGAGTGAGTGTCTTTACCTGACCTTGCTGAGAAGCCCGCGCGTGGTTTATATTTCGGGGCATTGACTTCCCGGCCTTGGGGTTCCTGGAAACTTTCTCTAGTTTATAAAAGTCCCCTTTTGAACAGTAGCCACAGAGAAGGGTCAGCGCCCTACGGCTGGAAGGCGGGTCTTGGAAACCCCGCCAACACGGGGAGATGCCTTGGGACGCGTACAAAGGTGTTCCTTCCCGAGGTCTCGGATGGCTCAGGGCTCCTGGGCACATGCTCATCAAAAGCTGCGACGGGCAGCCCTTAGCAGGTGGATAAGAGAGGGTCCCCGACCTGGGATGGAAACATTGCCCTCATTCAGCTTGCAAACTAGCAAGCTGGAAACGTCTGGTCACATGGAGCAGAAAGGTGCTTCTCCACCATTGCAGAGCGCAAGGACTGTCTTTGTCCTTTTGCTTGGGGAGAACACTGTGTCTTCCCCCGCGGTGCCATGGTTCTTCCCATCAGGTTACCCTCTTGCCCAGTGGGCGGAGAAGCCTGGCTCCGTTGAATTCCGGGATGGTGCATTTAGAAAGAAATCGGCTACAGGGGTCTAAAATGGTCTCAGTAATTCAAGTTTTCTTCCTTAGCTGGTTCATCTTGAGCAGTGAGCCATGCCTGGTGGCCTGCACAGGCTGCCACGCTTGCCCTGTCATTTCTCATCGGTTGGCCTTAAGTGCACCAGCCGTCCAGGCCTGCAGCTTTTTTGTTTTTTTTAAAGCCACTCTGCGAACTCCGAATAAATGAGGGAGGTCGAAATGATTGAACTTCCCCTCCCAGTGGGCTCTGGTGTCCGTGTCGTCCCCAGAGATGCTCTGGGCTTGTCTCTACAGCATTCCCACGCCGGGTTGAGTGGATCCGAGGCTCTATGGCAGCCTCTCACCTCGTCTTCCTTGGCAAGACCGAAAGAGACCCCATTTGGTGGTAGTGAGGGGAACAATAGCAGTGTGTACAAGCCAGAGGAGATCGTCCCTTCCTGGGTGCCCCAAGCAGTTGACCTGGACTGTGCCCCCAGAGTGGCTGCCTGCGTGACCTGGGGGGAGGGGAGGCACACCCAGGCTCCCTTGGAGCTCACGGGTGCAGCCTCGATTTCTCTTCGGAGATCATGTTGGAGAGCCTGTGTGTGTGTCTGTGTGTGTGTGTGTGTGTGTGTGTGTGTGTTGTATGTGCATTTGCCGCCTTCGAATGCTGAACTTGTTGCATTCCATCTTCTTTTCTCAGTCACAAAGAGCCAAAGAAGCTGGCGGGGGTTCACGCGCTCCAGGCCAGCGAGTTGGTCGTTACATACTTTTTCTGTGGAGAAGAAATTCCATACAGGAGGATGCTGAAGGCTCAGAGCCTGACCCTGGGCCACTTTAAAGAGCAGCTCAGCAAAAAGGGAAATTATAGGTAAGAGCCCTGTGGCTTCTGCTGCCCTGCACTCTGTGTGCTCAGGACCGAGAGCCAGAGTCGCTTCCCTGGCCTGGCCAGACCCGGGAGGGGGCTCAGGAGGTGCTCAGGGAGGCCCCCCGGGCTGCCTGGCACTTCTATTCCTTCTCATTTCCTCTTTCCCCTCACCACCAACAGAAATCACACAGCGGAGCCACAGGGAGGCCGCTGGGAGGGCTCTGTGGGGACCTGCACGGGCTTTTCCTATCAGGTGAATGAGACTCTGAAGGAGAAAGGGGGCTTGGCCAGGAGAGCTGAGCTCTGGCCGTCTAGTGGAGGCCCTTCCCAAAAGGCAGCAAGGGGTGTGTGTTGGGGAGAGACAGACGGACAGACTGATGAGCAGGCTTGGGTCTAGGAGAGACTGACTGTCCACACTGAAGGCCTGGGGAAGGGCAGAGGCCATTGCCTGGAAATAGAGACAGCATTCTCCTTCCTCAGCCTTTCTCCCTGAAGAGTGGCCTTGCGGTGTGGGTCCCGAGAAGCAGAAATGCTCTTGTGTCCATAACTGAGAGGGGACGGCCCCGTGGATGGGGACTGGGTGGACAGGGCTGGCCAGTCTTCCTGGGAAGGGCACTCGCCCTCCCTCCAGCCCTCTTCTCCCTGTCTGTGCAGTGGAGCCACCTGCCTGGCCTTCTAGGGCCCCAGAGAGGATTCTGGAGCAGGGACCACTTCTTGGTGTCCTCCCCGGGAATGCAGGGTGGATGATGACTCCACCTGTATTCCTCAAGTCCTAGCTGCTCCTCCTTGATGGCCTTCATCCCAGAGACATGCGTGGGCTCTGCTCTAGCTCCATCTCGGGTTGTGGTGCACGAGACGGGTGTGTGTGTGTGTGTGTGCGCGCGCGCGTGTGCGCCTGCACACACACAAGGTGTTGAGCACGCTCACTTTAAGGAGGGGCCCAGTAGGTGCTCCGAAGGTGCCAACCCACCCCCACCTGGAGCCTGAGGCAGGCGTGGAGAACTGTCCCAGGATTGCACGACCCGCCGGGTGGGCCCGGCTGCAGGGCCCCGAGACTGGGTCCCTTCCAGAGCCGGCCCTGCGCCCAGACCTGGGTGCCCGGTGGGCGGGGGGCCTGGAGTGATTCCTCCTGCAGGGAAAGGCTGGGGCTCAGGGGCAAGGACCCTGTGAGTGATGAAGGCGCAGGGTGTGGAGCTGGGCAGTAGAGCTCTCCGCGCGAAACCAGGCCAGAGACGATTCTGAAAATGTGTCAGCGCGGTTGGGGAACAGGCCTGGCTGCTCTGCTGCTGCTTTTTCTTCTTCCTCCTCCTCCTCTTCTTCTTCTTTTTCTTCTTCTTTTTTTTTTATCTTGAACAGACACAAGGTGAAACTAATTACACAAGTGTGCCCCTCCAGGGATTCATTTTGATCTCAGCTTTGACTCGGCTGGACTTTGAGTGGACCTGCAGGTGACCTTCGGGAGAGAAGGACGCTGGTGCGCCAAGCGGCGGCTGCAGGGGAAGCTCCGCGCTCAGCCGCTGCGGCCACATCTGGCTCTGATTGTTTTTTCTAAGGCGCACTTAATAAGCCCGGCTTTGAAGCCCCGGCCTCCCCTTTAATGCACAAAGACTTGCACAAACGGTTGACTCTCAGAATTCTTTCCTGATTGGATCAGGCTGTGGCCAGACCCTTCCCAGCCGCCTTATCTCTCTCTTCTTGCTCTCCGGCCCGAGCTGGCTCATGGAGGCACCGGGTGCCAGGCCTGGCCCCCCCAGTGGGGGTGATGCCCCGTCCTCCCGCACGCACTCCCCCTCACCGCCCCCAATAAAAAGCCTGGCCGGGATGGGGCCGCGGAGTTGGTGGGGGGGGGAACCCGGGGGGCACTGAGTAATCGCAACATGGCAGGGGTTCAAAAGGAGAACAGTCTCTCCAGACGTGCCAGACGCTGTTGGTGCCAGACGTCAGAAGAAAGCACCGTTTGCCGCATAAAGCGTGTTGCATTGCAAAAGCCCGTGTCTTGGAGTAGATGAGGGCAGTGCAGTGCATTTGAAGTCTGTGGGCCGCGGCCAGGGAATGTGGCCTCTGTCCTCTCTGGAAGAGGTTACAGTTCTGGAAAAGGTCGCCGCGTGTTTGTTCTGAGGGGCCGTGCGTGGAAACCCAACTTGGTAGAGCGGAGGGGTCAGAGCTGGAGGACTGGGGCACGACCAAGGGCGACCTCGTGTCTGGAAGGGCCCCCTCCCCAAGGCTGTCTGGGGTCCCCTGTGTACCATGTCCCTCCCCGTCCCCGCTCGGGCTCCCCAAGCACCCTGACCCCATCCGCTGGGTAGGAAGCGGTCACCCCAGCGCTGTGGCCTCGCTGGGAACCACTAACGGGACGTTGACTAAACCCAGCTGGTTCACTTCATTGAACCTTATCTCCGACAGCATTTGGCTTTTTTTCATTAAAGAGGGAAGAAGTTGAGCTCTAACCAAGGGGAATTTTTTTTTTCTTTTAAATGAAAAGACAGAAACAAAAAAACGACTGTAACCCTGGGACACAATTAAATTTTTTAGAGTGCTGTCCCCCTCCCCCCAGAGGACCAGGACCCTCCCTCCACAAGCGGCCTTTATTGGCTGAAGGTGACAGCTTGCAGGGACAGGCTTAATCCTGAGGGGTCTCCCTGGAAGGGGCCGGGGACTGGGCCCGTCAGGGGTGGGGGACAGCAGTTGCTTCTGAATGTGGCTTTCCTGAGAGAGGCTGGTCATTTGCGTCCACACAGTTAAACAGCCTTAGAAGAAAGAAGTCTGGGGTGGGATAAAAGGAACCTTTAATCAAGGGGCATAATAGAAGGGTCTTTAGTGTTTGACCCTGGAGGGGTGGGGTGGGGTGGGGTGGAAGGGCGGGGGAGGGAAATGGGAAGAACAGGGGAAAGAGGCCGAGGCCAAGGGCTGTCAGCAACCCTGGGAAGCAAGATGGCGCTGGCCAGCCTCCTGCAGCGGCCTGTCCCATGGCTGTGCCAGGGTCAGGCCAGAGGAGTGGGCCTGTGGGCACTGCAGGGTGGGAAGGACCGGAGGTGTCAGCCTTCTACAGACTTCTGCAGGTTCAGGGTGGCTGGGTCTGGGGCCTTTTGGAGGGGACACCCCCTCCCCACAACCTTGGTGGCTGCTGCTGCAAATGGACCTTGCATGCCTTGCCCTTCCCGCCCCCCTCCCTGCACCCCTCCCCAAAAGGGGAGAAAGCCTCAGGCCGCTCTCTGCAGAGTGCACTCTGCCCAGCGCGGCGCTGCGGGTTGCGGGTTGGCCTAAGCATTCTGGGCGGAAAAGGCAGGCAGGAGGCCGCGTGGCCCCGTGCTCCCGGGCCGTGTCCTGGGTGACCCCATTGCGCCCCCCCCCCCAGGGTCCCCGTGCACACCTGCCGCAGCAGCACCCTCAGGACCCCTCCTCCGGGTTGACATCTTGCCTTTCTCCTAAGCAAAGTAGAAAACGCACTTTTCACCAAGACGTTCTCTGGGTTTTCCTTTTAAGGTATTACTTCAAAAAAGCAAGTGACGAGTTTGCCTGCGGAGCCGTGTTTGAGGAGATCTGGGACGATGAGGCGGTGCTCCCCATGTACGAAGGCAGGATCCTGGGGAAGGTGGAGAGGATCGACTGAGCCTCGGTGGGGGTCAGGCCCTGGTGGGACTACGGGGCTGCCCGCCCGCGCCACCGGCCTTGGCCATGACGGACCGCGATGAGATGTTTTGAAGGAAAACTAAACCAATGAAGAAGACAAAAATCCCAGGAAGAATTGGCCACTGGCCACTCGGGGAGGGTGGGGAGGGTAGGGAGGTTGGTTTTCATTATTCACGAGCTGGGTACTGAGATAAGAAAAGCCTGAACTATTTATTAAAAACATGACCACTCTTGGCTATTGAAGATGCGGGCTGTATTGGAGAGACTGCCATGCGCAGGTAATATATGACCGCCTGGGGATCTGAAACCCACAAACTGAGGACTGTGTATAGCTTCCCTGAACAGGAGCCCTTCCTGCTATTTATTGAACAATTGATTCCCCGCCTCCCCCACCCCCCAGTTAATGGATATGCTGCTTTAAACACGGATGGGGGAGAGGGGACATTTTCATCGTCGTGTCCAAACTTGAGAGTTGAGCTAGGGGTGCATTCACGATTTCTTCATTAAAGGGGGAATTACTGTGCTTTGCCCTGCATTTCTCCAAGTGAAGATAGACTTTTTTAAATGGTGCCCTACCATTGACACACACGCAGAAAATTTGGTGCATTTTCTTTCTGTGCTGCTCTGTTTTGTCGTAAAGGTCTTGAGGACTGACTTATGTTGCAACGTCACCACCATTTGGGGGTCATCGTGTGGGATGGGATCCACTGTGGGGCGGGAGGTGGGGTGGGAGCTTCATTTTGGGGACCCCAGATTTCCTCAGTAACTCCTAACTCCCCACCAAGGCTCGGCACCCAATGGCCAAGGCCCGCTGGAACCTTGGAGTTCAACTCACGCTTGCGTTGAAACAATTCCTTGGAGTTTTGGTTGGTTGGGTTTTTGTTTTTTTAACTAGTCTTTGGAAATCCCCCCCCCCGCCGCCCGCTGGTCCCCCTCCTTACCCTGCACAGAAGCAGACAGTTGTGGGAAGACCTAGCAGCACCCTTTCCTCCAGATACCCTCATTTTGATGTTCGGGTTTTCGTGTTAAGTTAATCTGTACATTCTGTTTGCCATTGTTACTGTACTATACGTCTGTATATATTGTATGACAGAAGAGTGTTAATCCACTATCTCTAGTGCTTGACTTGAAATCAGTACAGTACCTGTACCTGCACGGTGTCCCGCTCCGTGTGTCGCCCTATATTGAGGGCTCCAACTTTCCCTTGTTTTTTGAAAGGGGTTTATGTATAAATATATTTTATGCCTTTTTATTACAAGTCTTGTACTCAATGACTTTTGCCATGGCATTTTGTTCTACTTATCCTGTAAATTATGCATTATAAAGAGTTCATTTAAGGAAAATTACTTGGTACAATAATTATTGTAATTAAGAGATGTAGCCTTTATTAAAATTTTATATTTTTCAAAACGTTGGCCTCGTCTCTGAGTCCCCTGGGGCGGGAGCAAGGCAGAGACAGCCTTCTATGTGTGAACCCCTGTGCCGGATTTCCCACCTTGCTAGAGCCCACCTCTGACTGACCTGGACCTCTTCTCCCCCAAGGTGGCCCCACCCTGGCATTTTGAAGAACCCTGTCTTCAAATCACCAAACTAACTTGCTGAGGATTTTCTCGGTCTCCGGCAGGCTATAGACTGTTTCCTCTGACGTTCCCCTCTCCCCGCCACCTCCTTTCACCTCCTCCTCGAAGGCAGGTTGCATCTGGCCAGGTAGGTCCATGAGATAAGGAGTGGAGATGGGGTAGTCCCAGGAATACTGGGAGAAAACATCCAGAAAATGGCATATGGGTCTGGAAAGGCCAGTGGTGCTTATGAGCCTTGAGCTCAGCGCTAACTAGCCACCCTCCCCATGACCTTGACAGTGGCCTCTGCTGATGCCTTCAGCAAGGAGCCTGGCCTTATTGAGGGTCTGTGTTGGAAAGGGGGCGGGGGGAAAAATGTGGTTCAGCAAGAAAACCGCATGGTTCGCTGGACCAAGAGTCCACTGACTGCCCTTCAGTCAACAGATTCTGGTTACCTCCTGGTGCAGCGAGCCCTGGGAAGTTGGGCTGTGTTTCTGACCTGGGAGAGCCGGTCTATCTACCTTAAAGGGTCCTCTAATGGGCCCATTTTAGAAAGAAAGGGTCTGTCGGACTTGGCTTCTTGGAGTTTTCTCGCGGTGGGGTCTGCTGCAATTCTGGCCGCTTTCTGTCCCCATTGGAACATGTGCGGTGGACAGGGTAGGGTAAGGCCAGGGCTCTGGTGGCCGTTGGGGGTGATGGGTCAGGGGCCGGCTGGAACTGGCCAGCCTCAGGGCACCCAGGTTAGGAGGTAGGGAACAGGGCACCAGACCACAGGAGTCCTTGATCTTGATCCTAACGATGGGGCTTGCTGCACACTCCCCTCCCAGCTGCAACGGGGGCTCACAGCAGGGGCATCCCGAACCCACTTCCAGACTGTAAGCTGCTTTCCAACCTGAAAGGACAAAGACATTGAACCTGGTGTGGGTGGTTTGGTTAGGATGTGAGAGGCATTTATCTTCAGGCCTTTTGATTCATCCCATGAGAATAATGGGCTAAAACCAGGTCTGGGGCTCAGACAAACCTGGGCTCAAGTCTAGAGGACCTTGGGCATCTGTGAGAAGGCAAGCCAGCCCAGAAGATGGACCACTCACGTCTGCAGCTCTGCTGAGAGGGCCTGCTTCTCTGCCTCTTGCATTTTAACAATCAGGCCTGCTTCACCTGGTCCAGATGGGCTGCTGGGGTGGAAGGGGGGCTACTGGGGTTTCTCAACCCTCGACATTGTGGAATCAGCTGCTTCTTTCTCTGAGGAAAGGGTCATTAGTCTTATTAGATTCTTAAAGGGATCTATGACTCAAAAGGAAAAGCTAAAACACGGTCTGGCTATCTGCTCTTTCTTCCCTGCCCCCCCAAATCATTTATGACCCAACCCAGCCCTTCAGAAACCCACTGCCCCTGCTCCAGCAGCCGTCCACCCCAGCCCTACCGACTGGACAGAACCTGCGCCAATCTGGCCTCTCCCAAAGGAGTTGCACTTGCTCAGGTGCTCCTGGATCTCCCCCTTCCTGAACTCCAGCTTCCAGTCCGATTCACCCACTTAGTGCTCATTCCCTGGTGCTTCCATCTGCTCTGGCCTTATTTCTCAGACTAATTGTTAACCAGCTAATCACAGTGGGGTGCAGACTGGGGGGGGTACAGTTTCTGCCTCTACTAAGTGAGGATAATCCCTGTGCTCACTTCCAGCGCTGCTACGACGGCGAGTGAAGTGTGGAGCCTTAGGAACCCACCCTGGGTCTTGAGGTACTTGGGTTCCATTCTTAGGGCCTGTGTTACTAGCTCCTCATTTGGAAATTCCACCCCTCCCCATTCCTGCTGCAGCATCTGGGCTCTGAGTCCCTCTTCCCTTGCCCTTGGCACAGAACCAAGAGGGTGGTGGGCAAATGGGCTGGTAGGCGGCTTGGCCCCAGAACATCTTTAAATTTTCATTAAATCTATGACTTTATACAATACTTGGAAATTCTGTATGGACTCTCACCTAGGGAGAGTTCATGTAGAAAGGCTTGAAATGTGGGGTTTTGGGAAAAGGATCCTGTTCTACTCTCTCCCTACCCCAACATATGATGGGATTGTAGTTGTGCCGTCAAAGAAGGAAATTAGCAATTATCCCAAAGAAAATACTCCAGTCTATTTGAAGGATTAGGTTATATTTGTTGTTGGTGGTGGTTTTCCTTGTTGTTCTTTTTGGTAAGGAAAAGAACTCCTTTTTTTTTTTAACCTTTAATAAATCATTTGATTTTACAGGAACTCCCCAAATAATGTAGATGATTTAAAAGAGGGATTCACACCTTCCTTAGCATCATTATTCCACATCATCAACTCAGTTTTCTAAAAATCTGCTATGAGACTGAGCCTTTACTGTATTCTATGGCTTGTCCCAGGAGAGGGGTCCTCCCCCTGGATAGCGCCCAGTTCTGAAAATATAAAATCCCTGTGCTTCAGCCACACCAACCTTTGAGTTCTGCTCAGAGTCTTTGCATATGCTGTTCCCTCTGTGGGGAACACCCCCTCCTTCAGCCCTTGCTGATGTTGTCCGCCTTTCAGCCTTCAGGTCTTGACTTAAATGTCAGAGGTCCTGGGGCACCCGGGTGGCTCAGTGGGGTAAGCCTCTGCCTTCAGCTCAGGTCATGATCTCAGGGTCCTGGGATTGAGCCCTGCATTGGGCTCTCTGCTCAGCAGGGAGCCTGCTCCCCCCCCCACCACCCACCCCCCCGCCTGCTGCTCTGCCTACTTGTGATCTCCATCTCTCTCTCTCTGTCAAATAAATAAAATCTTTTAAAAAAATAATATTATTCTGCTTTGCTCCACAACATGGCCGAATGATGGCTGCATTTATTTAACTAATCACTTCTGGCTGGACATTTATACAGTTTACCAATTCTGCAATTATAAGTCACGTTGTAATGAAATCTTTCTAGCTAAGCACTCCCTCGGTATTCATCACTAAATGGTCTTTAATTATTAGGATAAAGGTTTTCCAAGTAGAATTTGTGGATCAAAGGTCCTTTTTAGGGCTTCGGCCACTTCCTACCCAACTGTCTGAGACACTGGCTTGTCTCTGACTCTCCAGTGCCTTGCTCACGGTTGGCCTTCGAGCCACGGTTATGCCACCCACTTAAAACTCAAGCCCGGATAGCCAAAGCGCTCCTCAACCTGAGCCAAGCCTGCCTTTCTGGTATGATCTCCCTTTTCAAGCCGGGTCGCCTTGAGCAATGAACATCCCTCTACCTGGGTTTGCCTCTTTGTAAACTGAGCAGAGCCACGAGCATCCTTCCCGGGGCTGATGAAACTTGCTAAGGTGCGCACTGTTCCTGGCCGTGAGTCTGGCCTCGAACACGTCAGCTGCTGCGATCACCTGCTGATCCCCACCGTCCAGTCTTTATCCCTGACTCCGCTTGGCCCTTTCCCTCTTTTCTCTCACCAGTCCCTTTCCCTGCCCTCACCCCAGCCTCCCCTCCAGAATCCCGGGGGAC